CTCTTAGCATTCAATCATTATAGTCCAATCTGAAGCCGCTTCAAGGATGGAGTAAGGCTTACAATACAAAGTATTAGAGACAAAACATCCCACATCATCCGTACATGTTATTTGTAATAAAAAAATAAGATAATTATAAAATCCATTAACTACATTTCTTTCATCCCAAAATCTGTAAAATATTTACTATCATTCATAAGTTACTAACAAATAAATATAACAATGCAATATTTGTATGTTTTAATACCTTTTAACGAATTTCTACGTAAAATGGAAAAAAATCCAGAATCTCTGGAAAACATATATTGTTTTAAATTATGGCTTCATTCACACTGGAATCAAAATTATTATTTATGAAACATTTAAATAAGTATAAAAAACACATTATTATACCAAGCTTAAAGACGAAATAAACAAAGTAGATTTTATAACTAACGATCAAAACTTTAAAATATTAAAAAATAACGATCATTCATATTATTGTTGATTTTAGTATTTTCCCTATCTAGAATTTATTAAACCAAATGTATTTTTGTATGCATAAAAGCAATGAAGCTTTCAAATATTTAATATTTTTTAACAATAGTTAAATTTAAATCGAATGTTTACTTATTAAACACAAATAAAACTATTTTGTTTCTCACAAGCGCCATTTTGTTTTGCTGAACCTAACAAAAACAAGTTGCCCTGAAACGAATGGAATAGATATTTTATTTACAAAGTTTTAACTACTACAATATTATTGTAGTAAATAATTTTGCTTATAATGTTATTCCATTAACAATTGTTTAGTGAATATACTATTTTGCTTAAATGTAATTATTATGTTAATGGAAAGTTCTCAATTCTGTGTATGTATGTGTGTGTAATTTAACTGAAAAAAATGTCATTTTATAAAAAATCAAACAAGTATTTGCTCTCTAAATAAAAATTTGAAACAACTTTTTCCCGTAATTGAATTCATCAATTAAATACTCAAAGCTGTAAATTAACTTACCCTTCCAATGCAACATTTATTTTAACTCAAACTAAATATGCTACTAAATATAAAAGAAACATTATTTAATATTTAAATTAAAACTATTCAATTATTATAAGGCTTAACAAAGTAAATATGGTACCCATGTAAATCATTAGCAGTAAGTTATGTTGGAATATCCCAGAGGAAATCTTTGCCAGCATCCACTTGTAAATTAATGGAAAGAAAAACAATTGCGTAAACAACCGGGATTACTCGCTCTGTAGTCTTAATTATTATTTGAGTTTTTACAGCTCAAATAACATATAATAAAATCTCACTCGATTTCAGTGAAATCTCAATAGATTTCAGTGAAATCGTTACAATTTCCCCAATCAAAATGAAATATCGGCCTTCGTTACCTTGATGAATAGATTCATAATATGATTCGATTCACTTCCTTTAATTCTGCAATTGCATTTCATTCGGTATGAATTAATAATTTTTATATCGAATCATTTTAAAAACGTATCTTCATACTTTGGTTATTAATTATTATAGTAATTAATTGGTATCTAATTGGTTTAATTATACAAATAAGTAAAATACATGCCTTCAGATCTAAGACTGTCGCGAGTATTCATTTAAATGAAACTGATATTATTCGAATTACTACGCATATTTTATTATTATTGAAAAAAAAATGTGAATTCACAATTCACATTCACATCTCGTCTGTCCGTGATCACGGTTGCTGAAAAATAATTGAAACGTCGGAGTATGTAGTTTTTAAATATAATAAAATACTTGTAGTATGTATAATACTAAACATATTAGACTCATTTAACATCGAGACATATGTATATATATTATGATAATTACCATCCTTTCTCTGTTCGTTCCGACTAATTTCAGAAACAGGTAGACTCATTTTGAAAGTACTTTCAACGTCTAATTTATGATAGTAGACTTTATTTAAAAAAATGTATTATCTAACCAGGAAATACAAAATCACCCTCAAAGTTAAAAATTAATGTCGACACGCCTCGTTCTTCTCTATTTCTTTTCCTTTCAGAAAACGTTAATCGTTAGAGTAATTAAAAAACAATTATAAGTTTGAAAAATTATAATTACGTTTACACAGAAACTGTATCGAACAATATCCAAGTAAATTATCAGTAAAACATTGTCTTCTTCTACCTGACAATTTTCCAGCTTAAGCCAGGATCTGCCTTACATGTTGTGAAAGGTTTTGGCTAATTATATTTTTACGACCGCCTGCCTGACATCAACTCTTTTTGGGAATACATTAATCAGTGATGTCTAAATACTCTTAGAAAGTACATATGACTCGGAAAAATCACATTGGTACTTGCCAGGATCGAACCCGCGCCCTCATGCATGAGAGGCGGGCCTTTTAACATCTAGGTCACCACTGACAAATCAGTAAAACATTGTATTTATAAATAATATTTTTATTTCGAATCGCTTTCATATTCCCTTGACTTAGTCAATAGAATGTCTTCCAAACCCACTTTCGTGGTCGATGATACCTAGGGCTGCCAACTTCTGATATATCTACGTCCAATAATAAAGATTACCTGTTTAAACTATAACTATAAAACTTTTAGAGCACTATAAAACTGCTTTAAGAAAGATATTGCAAGGAAAAAATATAGCTCTATTTTAAGCTCTCTTAAATATTTGCATTCGATTTTTCTTGCACAAAAAAATAAAGAAAAGATAATTGGCGTCCCGTAATGAAAATAGAACAAGCTCCGTATAATAAAAATTAAAATATTTGAGGATGTATAGACGTTTGTTTCTCTTTCAATTAAATACTAAAAGGATTTTGATTAAACTATGCAATAATGTGGTTATAATAACAAAATAACATATGGTCTATAATTACTCAATTTTTCTGGAAACACGGCAATACAAGTTTTATGAAGAATCATGTAGTGTGCATTTAAAACACACAGACAATGACTTATAATATATTACATTTACATTATTATTTTCTATCTGAATACATAACCATAGACAACTCCTCTTCTACCTGGCAATTTCCCAGCTATAGTCAGGGTCTGCCTTACATGTTGTGAATAGTTTTTTTTGGCTATTTGTTTTTACGACCGGCCCGCCTGCCTGACATCAACCCTCTTTTGGGAAACGATTACAGAAAATGATATTATATATCAATATTGCCGAAGTGACAACCCTATAGCATCCTGTTATAGTGTCAAAAATACAAAAGGTCTTCACAAACACGCTGTTATTGTCTAACGTTTGAAATTGTCACTAAGAATAAACTAGAGAAAGCTGTCGATCAATCATATTATGTTTCAGTAACTATCATTGCAATATTTAGAAAGTGCGAATCTTAAAATATAATATTAATAAAACATTGGCTGGTAACGAAAAAGTTTTTAAGCATATTTTTATAGAGATAAATATTATCTCACTTCCAAAGAGGGTTGATGTGAGGCGGACGGTCGTGAATACAATTAGCCAAAACTATTTACAACATGTAAGGCAAACCCTGGCTAAAGCTGGGAAATTGTCAAGTAGAAGAAGATATTTTTATATAGATAACATTTTTAATCTATGTTCATATTAAAAATAACACAAAAGTACTGTCTTGGTCATTAAAGAAATTCATTTATCTTCTTTGTTTTCTACGTTTTGTAATTACTATGAACTGTATGAATAGATTCAGAGCATTAAGCGCTCACGCTCCATTAGCATCGGAAACCTTAAGATAGGTTATTGGGGTCAGACTGTGACAATATGGGACTATTGTCATAGGCTTAAACTGAAAGTGGTTATGTCAAATTTTACACAAGTCTTTGTAAGTAATTTAAATAATACACTAGTAATAAATAGTCTACATTTATATTTTTCTATAGCTTACAATTTAAACCTTTTTTTTAATTGCCAAATATTTAAAAGGAATATTAGTAATTTATTATACATAACGCTTAATTGTTTTATCGCCCAATTTGTACAGAACCTTAAGTTCGTGAAATACTCCTGACAGAATAATTAATTCACACCTGTTTTAATTCATTTCAAAACTCTTAATGATATTAACACGTTGCTTTGTAAAGTTTGCCTGCCACTTGTAAGGGAAAATTTCAATTAAATTATTTCCTGTACGCACCTACGCCTGTTCCAATAAATTAATTATATTGTAACAAAATGTATTGCTATTGAAATAAGGACGGCGCGAAAAATACTTAAAAAATAATTATTTTTTAGAATTTACCTTTACAGGATTTTTGTAGAATATTCAATATAAACATAAGCTATTTTTAAATTATCACAAAGCAAGTTATTGTCACAATACTTGGATATAACCTTAAATAGAGCCCTCGACACATATTTTTGGTGTAAGAACAATAACGTGAAATCGTTAGTAAAAACAAGGTCAAAATAGCCATAGAGAAATTTAACGCTTTGAAGCCAATAATTTTTTAATTATAAACTAATTAATATTTAAAAATATGTATATTTTAACGTTATATCAACTTAAAAACTGTATCATCACTTTAAACTAACAATGTAAGCATTTCTAAAGATAATGGGAAGAAAGATTTGTTTTTCATTGAAAAAAATAAGCGTGAGCCAATAGTTACATAACAATGTCTTCGATTGCAACGAACATATTAGCAAAACTGTATTTCATACAAAACGATAATATTTTAATGGATAGTTACGTTATTTGTATCCGCAACAAACAATAATCTCTGAGAAAACGTTCCTACAACGGGTTGCGTAAACTAAACCCCACTGCTCAATCCAGTGAACTGGAAAGCAAGGTCCCCAGCTAGCTTATTGTATTTTGCAGTAGTGTTCTCATTAGCACCTGTTAAGACAATAACACAGGAAGGAAACAAGCCACAGGCTCCCATGCCCCGTGAAAACTATCACGCTACAAAGAGACCACTTCGTTCCACTAAATTTAACTTCACTATAAATAAACGTTGCAATGACAAAATGATATTAGTCGAACGGTACCAGTGACAATTTCATCAATACGATGTTGACAACATTTTTTGTTCTTACCTTCGCTTTAATAGGCGTGCAAGCAATTACTGTTGAGCTAACCGAAGAGAAGACTCCATATGATTACGTAAAAGAGCGTTTGGATGCAATCGGGACTGACACTCGTTCTGGCTTGCCGTTATCAAACTCATATGAAGTCGAAGAAAGTGAGGATTATCCGGAGGAGATTGATGGGGCAGAATCAACAGTCCTCAATACTGTCACAGGTGTTGGAGGAATTGGTTTAGGTCAGGGCATTGGATATGGTGGTTTAGGTGGAATTGGAATTGGCCGTGGATTGGGTATAGGTCTTGGCGGATTTGGTGGTGCCGGGGGAATTGGCGCCACTGGTGGCCTCGTTGGAGCAGGAGGACTAAATGGTGGCATTGGTGGAATCGGACTAAATGGAATTGGAGGACTGGGTGCAGGTCAGATAGGTGCGGGTGGCTTAGGACTTGCAAACGGATTTATAAATCCTGCTTTAGCGGGCATCGGAGGGGGTGGCCTCGGAATTGGAAATGGTCTTTTGTACCACCCACTTCTTGGTGCCCAAGTTGGGGGCGGTTATGTAGATAAACAAGCCTATGACGCTGCACAGAAGAAAGGAGCTGATCAAAATGTAGAAAAGATTGAAAAGAAAGCTGGCGAAGAGGCTAAGCATGGACAAGAAGGTTTCCAACAGGCTTCCGCAGCATCTAAATCGGAGAAAGGTGACTCAAGTTTCTACAAAGACGAAGAAGCTAAGAAGAAAGCAGCGGGAGATGAAAAATTCTACGCCGGAGGCCAAAAACTTGATAAACAGGGTGTGTAAAAACATATATACTTTTCACTTATACAAACTTATATAGTTACATAGTATATAAGAATAACCTATAAATTAATAAAATAAATGAATAATTATTATGATTGCATTACCGTAGGTGCAAATGAAGAGCAATTGAAGAAAGCTAAAAGTCATAAAAAGGGTCATGTGAGCAAGGGTTTTAAATCATCGAGCAGCAAAAATGAAGAAGAAAAATCTGAAAGCTTCTATGACGAAGCCCACGATGAATCAGACCACAAAGTTGCAGGACATAACGCGGGATCCTTTGGCGAGAATTCCGAACATGGGTTCAAGGGAGCTCATGAGGAGAAGATTCTCGATGCTAATGCACAAGGCAAAGAAGGTCATCATGTATCAGAACAAAAAGTGGACGACGCAAAGGCCAACAAGGTAAGGGCAATAAACAGGTTTTTAATTACAACTTTTTTATCTCCTGCATACTCAGTCGTATTTTTAACCAATACATTTATATATTACTAGCTTTCCGCCCGCAGCTTCGCCCGCGTGGAATTCGGTTATATCGCGTTTCCAAGAGAACCTTTCAAAAGTCTGGGATAAAAACTATCCTATATTCATTCTTAAGGTCAACGCTATCTCTGTTCCAAATCTCATTAAAATCAGTTTAATGGTTTAGGCGTGAAAGTGTAACAGACAGACAGACAGACAGAGTTATTTTCGCATTAATAATATTAGTAGGGATTAACGTTTCTTATCGTTATACTACTGTTTGATTTTGAATATATTTTTTGTTATTTGTTTCATTTGTTAAGTTTTACCGTAATTGACGAGTGCAAAACACTTTCACTGGTGTGACCAGTTACGGCAGTTATTGACGAGGGACTTGCAATATAAGTAAATAACCTGACTTTATTGAAAACATACATACATAAAAATTAATTTATTATATGTTTGTCATTAACAAAATGACATTCTATTATGTATAGTTGTGATATAATTCGGTGAATAGGCAATAAATAGATAAGTAGGTCATTTTGAATGTAAATATTGACTGATATATATGGTTTGCAATGTAGCTTTAAACCTATAACGTTAAAGACGTTAAAGAAAGGTGTTATTTGTAGAAATAATCTAACATGAAACAATATAATTCCTTACATTCAATCGAAGTAATTACTTAAATACATTTATTTAGTTTCCAATCCAAATAAAGGAATACGGGAATACCGTTGTTCAGTCAAAGGATTTGTTTGCTCATTCCACAAACCAGATTTAATCCCGCGGTTTTGCTCGCCCTTTGTGTACTCAAGCATAGATCTCCTGCAATTTATTTATATGGAACGAAAACACACATGAATGAATCGATCTTATAAAATACAATGTATATAATATTGATTTATGTTACATTAACGTGAATTAATTTTGGATTCTCTGTATCCCAACAATACGATAGACTTTTCACACTATACATATGTATTATCGCATATATTAGCATCAAAGTAAGTTTAAAATAAAATACTATTAACACTCCGTTTACAGTCCATCGATGCAATCTTGGTAAGACTGAGTTATAAGCCAACCTCTACGAATAAACTGTAAAATTGAATCATTTCATGTTTCTGATTTCTAAAGCTGTACCAAATAACACTTCAGATATGTTTAGTATAAATATTTGTACCAACTTTTCGGTCCTATTATTCGTCATGTTGGCTCTGCTCTCGTTTATATTTTGTTACGTAAACATCATACTTGTATTTATAATATTATCATTATATATACCACAAAGTTTTATGTTGTCAATTATTTAAATTAAAGCTACTATATCATATTGTTTCTGAGTAATAGAGATTAAAAGTTTAAATTGTAATGTTAATAATTTATATGCGATTTGAAGGTTTTGTATTAAAAATATTTTTTTCCAGGGAGAATTCCTGCAAAAGGGTTTCAATGAGGGTACGGAACTTTTGGAAAAGTTCAATAATCTTGGAGCTCACGCCGTCCACGGTCACCAAGAAGCCACCGGTGGCTACCAACAGAACAAAGGAATATTGCCCATACATTAATATTTCAATACCGAATTGAATCTTGCCAAATAAATAATTACGACCATTTAATATATTTTTATTTAATTATTTTTTATGTACATCTTATATATAAAAGATAGTTGTGTTAGTTACACTATTTATAACTCAAGAACGGCTTTTACCATTTTGAACATTGGAGATAGTTTAGAACCAGGAAATGTACATAGGATATTTAATACTGTTTAATCAATGAAGAAAAAAGGCTTAGTAAATTCCAATATTTGGTTATTTATGGCATCTTGGGCGGAAAAGAGTTCGCCCGATCAGCTATACATATAACTAATTCTGATATTAACGCGAAGTCGCGGAGAAAAACTAGTTATAAATAAAACATCATTCATAGTAATCAATTTATTAATGAAAATAACATGCAAAAGAAAATATCATGCAAAATATTTGTGATAATATAGAAGTATTATTTTTTTAATGAACATTTTTTTGTTAAGCCGTTGCAATAAGACAAACCTGGAGATTTCTTTGACCAAGGATCGCTTGACGAATAACCAGACTCGAGGCTACATTGACTTATAAGGGACCTACAATATTTAAAACCTTTGATTGTTATGAAAAAACATTACTTTGTTAAACAATTTTCAATAAAAAAAAGTAAAAACAAATTTGGATATACATATTTTTAAAATCGTTTTGAATACTTATCTATTAATAAAGGTTTAAGTATATATAAAATACTTATGTAATACTAAAACGAAGAACTAAAAATTTTGGTTTTAATAGTTTTAAATGAAAAAATTAGAAATAAAATTTCAGCATCATTCTGAAAAACTACGCCAAATTTTGCAATATATTTCAATTTTGTGATACTGAATTTTATTCTTCATTTCAACAATGTCTTCGCGAGATATTCAGAGCATTCAAAAATGCAGTGACGTTAAAAATTGTTGCATTTAACTATACTAGAAGCATTCATTCAAAATATTAAGAACATTATTTTAAAGATATATAAGTAAAACAACAATGGTTGAGTCTCTATAGAAAAATAAAGACATTGTTAGAATTCACTCGTTCGTAGATAAATTCATTTCATTGTACCGAAAAATGAAAATTCACAAGCTCTTTTTTTTAGAAACAGCTGTTAAAAAATCTTATTGTTTTAAGTACAAAAGAAATATCTTATATGTTGCTTTCATATAAGTTTTTAAGTTCGCACAGCAACTATGAATAAGTCGCAATACCGTTATAGATTCTTTAAAAAGTTTTTGTACCCGGACTCCGGAGTAGGCGGAGTGCACACAGTAGATGTTATGCCATTCGAAGTATTTGATCTCTGTAATACATCATAAGAAAACATAATATATATATACATCGATAAAATATCGGGCCATACCCTATGGGTAATTCCCGTAGAATAGAATTCTATTTTGATGTACTGATAAATTTTTCCTCTTTGATATCGTGTTTATATAACATACATTAACACATTTTTATCGCCTTCTTAAATAAGCTTTGGACTATTAATTAGTATTGTATAGTTCGGAATTTTGTAATTAAAAGGTTCTAATGTAAAATATAAATATATACATAAATGGGTAGTATTTTCGATAAATTTATAATGAATTAATAAAATTATAATAAAAGTACAAAGAATGAAATCGTTTGAGAATAGAATGTGTATTAAAATACTCCACCCAAAGTAAAAAATACACACATATATATATGTCAAAGAAGATAATTAAGTACAAAAGGTGCTCTTATATCAGACGAGAGATTATTTTCAGGTTACCATTTGGCTAACGAACCTATAGAAAATGAAAGTAATTTTACATATATTCCAAAACACACCTCTATATATACTTTTATATACACAAATATTACATATCTCATCATTAAACGCCTGCAAAAAATATTAGAGCAACATTTTCGTACAACACTCATCTGTTAAATTATTCATATATATATACTTTCATAATATATGTATATAAAGCGATTACCTGACTAAGCGGGGTGAAGGTGGCCCGCTGTTTGCTTATTCGTGATGGGGTCACAAGGTTAGACTGATAAGGCAGCTGATAACAGATATGTTTGTTTAACAACGGGAATACCCTCAAGCAATGTAAAGAATACTTTAATTATCACTAATTTTGATATCTATTCTACTTCTTACATTATACGGAGTGCTTTTAGCTGTTCTTTTATATGTAGGTGTTGTTTGAATGAAACTCGGCGACAAATGACTGCCCGGGGATATCGGTACGTTGAATGGGGACGCCTGTTCTAGAAATTTAGAAATGTTTCTAGTTTATATTTAATGTGAAATTTATTTTTAAATAATAATACGTATGTACATATTACATTTTTTTATTATAAATCCAAATAATATATAATATTGTATTCTTCTAAGCTGCAAATAAATAATATTTATAGAAATGACGTTTAATTTAACAATAAAATCAAATGTTAATTAATTTCTGTTATGTAATGAAGGTAAATAGGTAAGTAAGGTATATTTAGAAATTGTTTTATTAATGATTGTAGTAACTTAAAAAAAGTTAATAATATATAGCTATAAGAGATTTATTGTTTTAATATAAATTAATTATTCATAATAAAATGTACATTAAGAATGGATTTTTTATGTTTTTGCTATACATTTAATTGCGATTCATATGTTAGTCATTTCATTTTTATTTATATTTTTTTCGTTTCGTCATTTAAAAATTATTTAAGTTTATAGAATATAAGAAGAGCTTGAAGTTAAAAAGATTATTATTTATTTTCAATAGATTACAACTGATCTGTTTACCATTCAATTACTTTGACGAAATTATTTTATAATTTAAAATATCAATCATTGAGATTAGGTTAAGAGGATTATTATTGTTATAATCAAATGAAAATTCTATGAAATAAAATTAAAGATATTTAAAACTTTCGCGAGTATTGATTTAAATGAAATTATTATTATGGAATTACTACGCGTTTATTATTTTGAACTGAATAGTTATTCGGTTACTTTGCAGCAACCGTGATCACTAATTATCTCGTCTGCCCGTGATCACGGTAACTGAAAAGTAAATGAAACGTCTGGAGTATGTAGTTAATATAATAAAATACGCGTAGTAATCCGAATAATATTAGTTTCATTTAAATGAAACTTTCCAACAAAGTAACCAATATTAGTTTTATTTAGACGTAAAATTACTAGGAATTTTCTATTTTTGTATGAGATATATGTATTGTAATTCTTACTTGATTGTCCAAGCTGTGACTCCAAATTCTTCACAATCTTCTGGTATTCCTTCAATTGCTTGTGTTGTTTCTGACATAACTCCGTCATACGTTTCAATTCGCTTCTTGCTGTATAGAATTTCTTCGTCTAGAAGTATTGTTTATTTATATTTTTTATCATAATTTTAACTCTAATTCTTTGAAACTTCTTATGTATATGACGGCTTTTTCGAAACACAATTTTATTTATATTTTTTATCATAATTTTAACTATATTTCTTTGTAACTTCTTATCTATATGACGGTTTTTTTGTATCAACAATATAATTATTTGCGTACCTAACTGAGAAAAAAAAATGAGAATAAGACTGACTTGTACGTATGTGTGTGTATATGCTTGTGACCGTATTTCGTGTGTCAAGGGATTGTTAAAAAGATACATCTTTTTGATGTCAATTTATTATATATGTTACTTAGAGTAATTAAGATTCAATAATTTTGTTTCTAAAACTGTGTTTATTCATATCAAATTACTGTATATATGAAATAGCTTATATGACAATAAATAAATAATTAAATATCCTACAGAATTTGTTTAAAATGGTACACGTAAGTAAATAAAGAGCAAACGAAATGTTACACCTTCATCTGCTTTTTATATTGACCCTTGTTGAAATTAAATTTATTTTTAATATTTTTACGTGTACAATTTTAATACGGATTTGTTAATTTTGAACCGAAATGTTTTGTTATGTGACATAAACATACCTTATCTGTATAAACATAATAAGAAATTGAACGAATTAAACCAACAAAATAAGTAAAAAAATACTATTTTAAATATAAATTATTATAATTAAAACTTTCAACATAAAAAACCTACTTTCTCGAGATCCTATTTCAGAAATCTTTTTCTATAATTGGCTTACAAAAGTTACGCCGGCTGAGCAATTATGAATTTCCTTTTAACGGGCGAAAATTTAATAAATTGCGAAAAGTATGGCTTAAATTAGGGCTAATCAAATAATCTACCATAAAGCTTAACGTCCAAAATCCAAACACCATGGACGTTTTAATTTAATTTAAATTTAAACTGTGATTTAAAATTACTTTGACGTATTAAAAGTAATCTCGTCGACCTATTTTAAGCTTTCACATTTGGTGTGTTTTGACGATTTTAATGAAATTTATATCTACGTCACTTTTAATTTATATCTCAAACAGAAATTCACGGAAAAGTTTCTTTTCGTTTATAAGTTTGTCTCATTTAAAATTTCTGATGAGCTCACTTTGTTATAAATTATTAAAACTTCATGTAGCACGTACTCGTACTAATGAAGATACGATTTTTTGTTTTTATAAATCCTTTGAAATTTTAGTACTTATAAAATACATATTGTATATAATAGCCATTTGTTTATTTCTAATAATTTATTACGATAATTTTCATATATCTACCATTTTATAATCCATAAAATTGCAAAAAATATGTATATCAAATCTCTTTTATGGCCTCGTACGTAAAATTGTGTATCGATCGAGACTCGAGATACAAAGAGAACTGAGTACATAACTAAATTGCTACGTCTGTCCGTCCGTAATTGACAAAGGGGTCGAGCAAATTTGTTCTAGTAATGTATATTGTATTTTGTCAGAAGGTTTATTCTATATAATTTACATTCTCAGTTAAATAAACTAATAACAATATTTTAAATTAAATTATATATTTTACCGATTGCAGCAAATATGATAGCAGTCTACGTCTATGCTGCTTTTGAAATTGCAAAACTTCGCTGCATTTTTTTATTATTTCCTCCGGATCTGTAAAATAATCTTGAATATCTTGGTTCATCTGGAAATGAAAAATTGAACTAAAGTTGTGAATTCTTTTACATAAAGAATGAGTTTTAGACTTATCTTACATCCGGAACAAGCTTCATCATTGAACACGGTACTCTGCAAACTAAACAAGTACCCTCCTTTACGCCTAAAATTCGGAAATAATTTAAATAAGACGCAAAATAGACGTTTAATTTTATATCATGTCAATATTGTCAAAAGTATCCACAACTGTGAAGTTTGTTATTAGAAGAACGTAATACATACCATTGTCCAAACAGTTGTTGCAAAACATATGCCCACATGATGTTAAATGAAGAGTTATTCCAGGTTCTAATTGAATAAAACAATTATTACAATGAATCCAGTCCATCTTTACGCGAAATACAATATTATTTTTACAAGCAAGCCATTTTCAAAGCAAAAAATGCACAATGTTTTCTTTTCAACATCTGTCAATGACGTTTTAAACTTAGCGGGCTGAGATTGAAATGGTTTAATTCCAAAAAAATATGGGTTATTCAAATGTTATAAATAATTAGGTAATAATTTATAAAAATATACGTTTTAAACTAGGTTGTAATTATTAATACAACATATTTTTTTATAATGTTATAGCATTTCGAAAATTATAACCGGGCTATGGTTAATAGCTTTACATCTATATACTGGCCGCAAACATTTGTCAAGAAACTCGTATCTCAACTTCATAAGAAAAAAAAAAGATAGCCCATGAATATATATAATGGAGTCATTGGTATAACGACAGTCGTGTTTACATTCTCGCATGGTCGCACGCCTGACCATGACTTTGAAATATATTTTGCTTTTATTGGCATTGGTCAGTTTAAATGTCAACGCCAAATCCTCATGTACGTTGCATTATTTGCATAAATATTATGTGTCAACAAAGTGGTTTTAAATCAAACGTTCGAAATTCAAAATTTAAATTGTTAGCATCAATTGATGTGTGAAATTTTATTATCCAATCATGTTTCGTTTACAAGATGAGATCCAAATTTGAAAAGATAATTCCTGTTTGCAATTATTGATGTGTTTTTATTGTAAATAATTTATTAGTATTTATTTTTTAGATAAAATATGTGTGCCGGCGCAGTTTTTGAAGGCCTGTGAGGAGATGCTCGAAGTACCAACTAAGAGCAAAGCAATATTAGAATGTGTACCGGCTAGAGATAGGTGAGTTTATACACAAATAAATGATAACAAAAATACTTATAAATGTAAAATAAATAAAATTAAAATATTCTCCTCTATATCACCATTTGACCTTTATAGATTATATTTGTTATTATATACGATGCTGTATGTTTTAAACTTTTGCCTTTTTATATACAACAGATAACCTATGCATTGTTTTACGTCAAATATTTGTCAATTTATTTAATTATTTTAAGTGAATTCTAACATTTGTATTAAGTATCTGTCCCGTTTTATTAGATCGTCAGTTATTTGGGACCCTCTTATTCCATCTCCCCAAGAAATTCAATATTCGCTCATTCACTTATAATTAAGTTGACACAGATTCAAATCGAAATAATTCAAATGTTCCATAAAAGCTTTATAATATAAATAATGACTTAGGCATTAAATGTTATTTGAGGAAAGTATTTTTTTATGAAAAATAAATACATATGCAATATTTACTTAACTATGAAATTCTAATTTGTGTTAGCGATTATAGGTGTGACAAAAAACATACTAGAAAATTATAAATTTACTAGCTGACCCGGCAGACTTCATACTGCCTGAATCAAGAAATAAATATTTTTTTATTTTTTTGGAGTTTACCTTTACGTTATAAATCTCCGTGTTCTGAAGAGCGATAGAATGATTGACATATTAGTTAGTTGTGAAATTTAATGTCAAAAAACCGTTTGTATGGGAAATAGAAAAGGGCTGGTTTTAGGGTTTTCCCGGCAATTATTCCAATTTTTCTCACCTTTTAAACCTTCCCTGGACTTCCATATTTCAAGACTAAAATTAGCCAAATCGGTTCAGCCGTTCTCGAGTTTTAGCGAGACTAAGGAACAGCAATCCATTTTTATATATATAGATAACCTACCACTAGTGCATACTTGATAAATACGAAAGTTTTCGAGTATTTGAAAACTGGTAAAGTGTTGTGAACTCATAGTGAAGTAAACTCTTGATATTCCGAAAAGTCAAAAATTTTGTTTGTATCTCGATTGATTGAAACAAACATTTGTATTTCCCAATAGTGACATAGATTGCTTGATACCAAAAAGTGTGAAATATTTTGAACAAATCCTCATACTTTCGTTTAGTTTTCATTTATTAAAAAAAATATAAAAACTTTTTGGAGAAATATTCTGTTTTAAAACGGTCATAGTTTGAAATAGGAAGGAAAAAATATTATAGATACTTTATAACCGGGAACAAATTATTTTTTTTATTTTAATTAAATTTCGGAGTTTCTTTCAAAAGTATGTCTTCTCAATATTTAATTTACATTGTTTAAAAGGATTCCTATATATAAGTTGTAGCTATTTCTTTTATATTTTAAGGTTTAAAGATAATAATTAAAATACGTATTAACTAACGAGTAATCATAATCTGTAAATAAATCCTCCTTTGTCTCACGATCTCCTTTGAGACGGTAGTATAAATAATTTCCGTTTTATATAACGAATTCATAAATTAATGTTGCCAGGATAATAAATATTTCTATTAATTTATATAGGCCGTCATATTGTTTGAGTTATAATTTAAATTAAAATAAATTTCTTTTAAATAAATTATATTTGATATACTTAATTACAACTTTTACCACGAAAAATGTATGTTTCCTAAATATTACATGAAGACTAATTGTTATATTAAACAAAAATAATAAAAAAGGTACATACCTATATGTTAAGTAAAAGGATTTTTTTTTAATTTATAATTTTAATATGAATTCCCTTTGATATTTTTTAAATAGATTGAAATCTATTGAAAAAAGTTAACAAGTAAACATATAGGTCAAATCTTTTTTTATACAAAAAAACGCAAGGGAAGCCAGTGAGTATTCCATATAATAATACAGCCACGGGCAAAAGTATTAGGCACCCTACAGTAAGACAAGTTTTAGAGTGTTTTAGCATAGCGAGTGTAAATAAAACTGCATTTATGATTACAATGGTTTATTTTAAGAAAATAATTAATATTTTGTAGGTCCACCTTTTGACTTAATAACCGCAGCCACTCTTTTTGGCATTGACTCTACCAGCCTGAAACATTCTTCTCTTGATATATTTTTCCATTCCTGTTGTAACGCGGCCAATAGAGCTTGTTTATTGCTAATCGAGTGGCTGCGGATATTTTTCTTTAAAATGGACCAAATATGCTCAATCGGGTTGAGGTCTGGTGATTGTGGTGGCCAGTCCAAAAGATCAATATGATTTTCAGCAAACCACTTCATGGTATGCGCGGACTTGTGGCAAGTGGCGTTGTCTTGCTGAAATTTCAGGCCATCGGTGTTTGTATCACCGAAAATTTGCGTTATCGACGTTGCTAGTGCTGTTTCCAGAACTTCAGTGTATTTAACACTATTCATTCGTCCCTCACACAACACCATTTCGCCCACTCCGTCGGCAGCCATGCAGCCCCAGATCATTATTGAGCCTCCACCATGCTTAACAGTGGCAACCACACATTCTGGGTTGTATTCTTCGCCAACCCTTCGCCTAACATAAGTCACACCGGGTGTTCCAAACACCTATGCCAAACGAAAAAAACACATTTATTTTCAAAGTTATTATTTTTCTTGTAGTACGTTATTTTAAAAACATTTATGTGTTTTAATATTGTACATAAAATAAATAACAATTCCTCAAAGTTAGATTCGTCTGACCACAGTATGTTGGACCAATCTTCCACTGACCAATCTCTATGTTTGAGTGCCCACTTCAACCGATTTTTCTTATTGTGTTCTGACAGCCACGGCTTCTTCCTTGCTTTACATCCTTTTAATCCAGCTTTAAGAAGTCTTCTTCTCACAGTACAACACTCACTGAGCTGCCTTTTGCCTCAGATAATGCTGCAGCGAGCTCTAAAGCAGTTTTTTTCCTGTTTTGTAGAGACTGCCTAATCAACAATCGATCTTCCCGTTCAGTAGTAACTTTTCTTCTGCCTGTTCTTGGTCTATTTTCATGGGTGCCAGTCTCTTTGAAGCGATTTATAGCATATTGAACTGCACATCGCGAGCACTTCACTTCTCGGGCTATTTTAACCTGAGACATGCCTTGTTCATGTAAAATCTTAATTCTTAGACGCTGTTCAGCACTAAGTTCAGATTTTTTCGGCATGATTAACACGTTAAATGTTAGTCTTTAGAATTGTGATAGGAATAGTTGCGTAGAAGACGTGTATGTTCACTGCAAGCACTGATAATACACTATAACCCGAAACGCAAAAAAAGCAAATTCGAAGAAACACCGCTGAGGAGCACACCTGGATGTCATAAATATTTTCTTTTATCTTAATTTGGTTAAAAATTGCCGCTAATACAATAGCTAAACCATAAAACACACACTTGACCGCAATATAATGAGATAGTGACTAACAATAGGGGTGCCTAATACTTTTGCACGCAGCTGTAGTATCACATATAGGGGAGAAAACATATATATGTCATTTAAAATATATAAAACAATATTTAATATATGACATTGTAATTATAAATAATATGTTGCAATATAAAAATTAATGATGAAAACAAGCTTAAATAGAAAAAAAATATTCTTTGAATGACAAAAAACAATTGAAGCATGACAGACTTATACTTTTTATATAAATTAAAAACAGCAATATATATATATATATATATTGAAAAATAATATTTTCTTTCATTAACAAAATTAAATGATCATTTGAATGAATAATATTAAACTAAAATCTATGTTATCTTAGGAATCCCGCCACGAAATTCTGTGGTACATTAATTTGATATACGCGGCGGCTTAAGCGTCGCTCCTAAAAGCATTTTTACGACTTCATTATACCAGAATTATAATTTTAAACTCACGATGAATAAATTACATTTCTTTATGAAATTACATATGATATGCGTATTAGAAATGTATACTAAATAATGAAAAACAGGTTTTAAACTGTACTTACTATATTACTGTGTATTAAATAAAAAGTTAAAATAATAAATAAAGTGTATTAAATAATAAGTTTTAAGATTAATTTTATCATTTTTGGTATACATAATATTAATAATAATGAGATCTAAGAAAATTATTCGTTTAAATAAAAGTATATTTTCGGAAGTACTATCACGTTTTTTGATAATTCAAACTACATACTCCCGACGTGTTTGTTACTGCAAAGTAAGTATGTAGCTAAAATAATAAAAAACGCATAATAATTCCGAATATATTAGTTTTATCCATAGTGAAGAATAGTTTTCTAGTCAATTTCTATAATACTTACTTTTTCAATCTTTTTCTATCAATAGAATGGAATGTCTCTCATTCGTTCAGCAACGCCAAGCTGACCTCGTGCCAGTAGACCCTGAAGACATGTACGTAGCTTCGAAGATACCGAACCAGGACTTCGTGGTGTTCCAGGAGTATAGAACCGATGATGAACCAGATGGTATGTACTATATATATAACGACACATTCTAAGTCAGTGGTGGCCTAGTGGTTTAAAGGTTATGGTAAATTACAATATAAATACCAAAATTTTCACAACGAAATATTCGGTTTTCACAAATATGTAATATATGTAATATAATAATAAGCAAAAGATTAATATAATGAATAAGTAATTCGAAATATTTTGAAGTTATTTTTAATATACGCAGTCTTAATTAAAACTATGTTTAAGACAGTCGAATATTTCAAGTAGGTTTATTTTAGTCAGATCAAAATTCAAAATGAACTTGAATTATTCCAATTATTGATTATAAGTTCAAAACAATAAGTTGGTATACAATATATACTATAAATTTTCACAAGTAGGGTATGAAGTTATAATGAAAGGCAGATTTTTTATAGGAAATTTTTTTTCCGTACACTCAAGTTGACGTCTAATTTTCTCCCAAATGCTCCTCTACGGAGTGCTTGAAAATTTATAAAATGTACGATATTTCGTTTAATTATTAATTATTCAAAGTTTTAATTTGAGTTGTTCCAATATTTCATATGATAATTCCTTTTTTACTTCTTTTTAAAGAAATATTTGAAAGAAACTCGTACTTTCAAATTCACAGCTTGTATGAAAGGCTTGAAGATGAATATTCTCTTTGTAATGCATTCACAAACTTTATTGTTAGAAGCTTAAATAATACATTACTACTAATGACAAAGAGGCGTTGCTTGAATATTCATATTTTGTTTATTACAAGTTTCCATTGTACGACATACGGGGCGTTTGACGTTTTTCGTACGATAAGCTACATACGATAATGAACGAGTATTAAGAATAAAAACTGAAATCGTTTGAAGTGTGACGATAGCTACTGGTGGTTATGTGTTATGTGTGTTATGGTTACGTGGTTATTGTATACTGATTATAATTCTGTATGAGACATGTGCATTAATTTTTGCTCCAGACTTTATATATTACTTATATTTAATGTATATAATTATATATTAGGTTTTTTGTAAAGTACTACGGTTTTCGTAAAGGAATTGAGATGTCGGGATTATGTAGTCTGAACATAATAAAAAACCGTGTAGTATCAGCAAAAGTTAGTTTCACTTATTTAAAGCTATTTATTAGGAATTCTGAGTAAATTCTAATCATATTTGACTATTTTCTAATTAACGTTAAATGAAAACATAAAATCGTTTTAATCTGTGTAATTAACTATCGTTTAATTGAGTTTCAACGATGAAATTAATGAACGATTTGATACTAAGTTTTATAATTGAAAAAAAAAACAATATTATTTAATCTGTGTAAATTGTTATACCACAGACTAAATTAAATACGTGTCGTTATAAACTGGATAAAAATATACTTATAATACCTAATATTAAAATAATATTGAGGAAAATATAAAAATATTAAAATTCATAAGTCTCATCTAAAGTTGTCAAATTGAATTTCTAATCTCAGCTAAATGTTTTATGTATAAAGCATATGTTGCGAGTATGTCGACTTCCAAATCACAAAACCTCATACAACAAATCCGTCCTGCATATAAAGTTGTAATTAAAATAAATTAACATCACATCAATCTTTTATGTTATTTATTCGTATAAAAAAGACATATAGTTAAATGAAACTAATATTTTTCGTATAACTACGCGATTTTTTTTATCAAAAACTACATAATTCCGACGTTTCGGTTACTTTACAGCAACCGTGATCACGGGCAGACGAGATCATATAGTTATTTTCATAGTATATCCAAATTAATATCTATATTATAACTCAAAAGACTTATTACAAGTCTTTGAAACCAAAAGTCCTTTGTTTTATGAATTGGAAATATTTATAAATCAAGCACTTTCGTTGTTAATTATTAAAACATTTCCATTTAAAAGACATTTTAGATTCTAAGGTATTTGCGAGTTTGGAAACTCTGTTACAAAGATTTCAATTCATATTACTATGCAATAACATGATTTAAAAAAACATTGAAACATAAATAGGGTTGACAAAAAACAGAAATAAGACCTAATAATTACTAATACGTAATAATATGATTACTTAATACTTAAATCAATAAATGCCTTAATATATCTTTGAACAAAACACATCCTGACAAAGCATTTCTTTTATATATATGTTTGTAAATAAGAAAAAACGTATACAGCTGTCTGTACGTAAATATTTTAAATCAAAGCCATACGATACGATTTCATTGCCTCGCAATTTTCTTCTCGGGATACATTACTGAATAAAAAAAGATAATGGCTGGAGTATATTTTGCTTTAATATTTAATAATAGCATGTTGAAATCCTATATATCAGATACCTTAATTATGTTTGTGATTTTCTTATATGAGTTACGTTTTTTTATTCCAGATTGAGGTAGTAATAAATGTAAACAGACGTACATAATATTATAATTAAATTTTATATACATGTAACTGATAAAAAATATATTACATTCATAAGCCTATTGCTGCCCACAGCTGAGGAAAGCCTCTTCTCACATGGAGAAGGTTAGAGTTTTAATCACCACGCTTGCTTATGACGGGTTGGCGATTTCAAGCTTATATTTTCTATTTATAATCTAAGTCCAAGTTTTTCTCCTCATGATGTTTTCCTTCACCGCTTGTCAGTGGTGTCCAAATATTTGTACAAAGTACATATAACTAGGAAAAAAATTACATTGGTACTTGTCAGGTTTCGAATCAATACCCTCATGCACGAAAGGCGGTCCTTTGACCTCTTGGCCACCAAGATATTAAAAATATATAGTTATCGTATTTATTGAATACTAGCTGCGCCCCGCGGTGTTACCCGCGGATTTCCGGGATGTAAAGTAGCCTATGTGCTATTCCTGAACGTCAGCTTCCTATATACAACATTTTATCAAAATCTTTTCAGCCGTTTGAGCGTGAAGAAGTAACAAACATACACACACTCACAAACTTTCGCAATTATAATATTATATGTTTGTTCTTTCAACAGCGGAATTCCGATATGAAGCAGTGATAGTGGTTCATAAAGACCTGCCAATCAACAGTCTCGACCAGCTCAAGGGTTTGAAGTCCTGCCACACGGGAGTCAACAGAAACGTTGGCTACAAGGTCAGTGGTCAAAACAAAGGACATGAATATATCAACTCTAATAACTTATATGAACAAAGTTGTTAAACAAAGTTCCAAAACTTTAACCACCGAACCGTACCGCTCAAATAACGGAATGTTTGTTCGGCATATACTTAAACCGCAACAGAAACTATTTCAATTACAGTTTGAAAATGTTAAATATATAAACTTATACGATATTTGATGTTGAAATATAAGCTCTCGGATAAAATATCTCAAGAATTTAAATTTGAAAATATTAGCAGTAGTTATTATTTGGTTTAAGTTTTAAAATATATGTATATAGAAAAGAAAACATATACTTTATATTAATATTAGAAAAATATGCTTATAAGAAACGATATTGCGAAATAGACAATAAATTATTTAAAAAAAGAAATACTACTGTTCTTGCCATATTAAAATATACTTATATTGAAGTCTTTTGTTTTGTTATATGAAAATAATATCTAAATGTCATAAAATTCCTTTCTACATACCACTTTAATAAAAGTAACAAATTCAAAAAGACGCTGCGACAAAAGAAATTTAATTTTGACAACACAAAGAATTACATTTGAGCGAGCATTTTAATGAAATTCATGTTTTCCACATTGTAATATAATTTATAGTATTTTAAACGCTGCATACCTAGGTAATTTATCTTACAGAAAATTACATTCCAAGTCTTCAGCTTTATTTAAATAGTTCTGTTCAAATATATTACTCACATAAAATGTAGACTTGCAATGATAAAAAATATATTTTTCACTAATTAACATTTTATAATGATATAATTGTAAAAGGCATTATTATATAAGTTCAGTGGCTGTGTAATTTAGAGAAGAAAAAATAAATATATGCTGCCTAAGAAAAAAACTATAAAAGCCTCTGTCATAACATATTTATTAAAAAAAAGTTGCATTAATTTTGTAAGAAATTCAATTTATATAGACAAAGGATATAATTGAAAAACAAAATTTCGTTTTTTGATTTCATTGTAACACAAATAATATTATAAAAGGAAATTTTAAGTTCAAATTATTTGTTCCGAACATAAAACGAAAGATAGATTAAGAAATAATTGAATATTAAATACGAGGTGACAAATTAAAATTAAGCTTATAAAAAAATAATATTATTTTTGACTGTTACTTTTAAATGTTTTTGAGTAAAAACAAATAAATATAATTATATTTATGGCATAGATGAAATGTATATATTATAGTATAACATATGATAGTCGTTAGGCTGAAGCTATAATTATTCGCTAGGGATGCTTCCTTATTGAACCGGTTTCCAGATTCCCTTGACGATGTTAATGAAGCGAGCTGTGTTCCCCAAAATGACGGACCGCAGTATATCACCTAAGGAAAACGAACTTCGTGCTTTGTCAACTTTCTTCAAGAAATCCTGCATCGTCGGTCAATGGTCACCAGATCCGAAGACGAATTCAGCTTGGAGTAAGTAATTTATGATTACGCTTTCGTATAAAAACACTAGATTTTTTCATATTGACTTTTATTAAAATGCATTTATCTATGATTTGGTTTATTTAAATTCTCGAACAAATATTCTCTATTTTTTTAAATAGATTGCATTTAAATCGTTTGCATCTTAAACATGACAAGTATTTAAATGAAACTAATATTTTCGGATTTTACTTCGCGTTTTATTTTAGAAACTACATACTCCCGACGTTTCGGCTACTTTTCAGCAACCGTGATCACGGACAGACGAGATGTCTCATTTCATTTAAATGTGTACTCGCGAAAATCTTAGATCTCATTATGACAAGTATTTCCGATTCTTCATGCATTACGCTACGTCAATAATATAATTTGAGAAGATAACATTAAACAATTTGAATCATTGCGTTTGTATTAACGGTGGTTAGAATACAGATTTTAAAAGAAAGGTATGAAAGAAAATACAAGGACTTAACAATTGTATATAAAAACTTAAAATATCGTAACTAAAAGTAGACAAATATATTACAAACTAGAAGACTGAAATAGAAAAGGACTGGTTTTATGGTTTTCCCAGTAATGAATCAATTTTTTTTAGCTTTTATACCTTCCCTGAACCTCCACGAACATTTCAAGACTAAGATAAGATAAATCCGTTCAGCTGTTCTCGAGTTTTAGCGAGACTAGGGAACAGCAATCCATTTTTATATATATAGAAGAAGAAGATATCCTTCATCTTCAGTTACATATAATAAGAAAGGTTTATTATGGAGTATTATATCTCATTATTCACCGGTTTGATCCAACTTATCGCGTGACCTGTAATCAACTTTGATTGACGCTCGATTCTCGAACTTCTAACAAAGCAACAGATGTCTTTCAAACTGTTTGGAAATTGTTTCAAAACGTATCACTGACGATGTAACAACGCTGATTGTTCGACGATTTATTTTATGGTAGATATTCATAAAATCTAATCAAAACGTTTAAAATGATAGTCATTTAAAATCTTTATTAATTTATTAATTCTATATGACATCTATCTTCTCTTTTATATATATAAAAATGGATTGCTGTTCCTTAGTCTCGCTAAAACTCGAGAACAGCTGAACGGATTTATCTGATCTTAGTCTTGAAATGTTCGTGGAGGTTCAGAGAAGGTTCAAAAGCTGAAATTTTTTTATTAATTTCCGGGAAAACCCTAAAGACAGCGCTTTTTTATTTCCCATACAAACGGTTTTTTGACATTAGATTTGACAATTAACTTATATGTCAATCATTTTGTCACACTTCAGAACACGGAGATTTTTGGCTTATAGGTAAACACTAAAAAAATAAATAAGACATAATTTATTTCTTGATTGAGGCAGTACGAAGTCTGCCGGGTCAGCTAGTATGTATTTCAATATAATTTCAATTGTCCTGTCATACATGTAGTACGAAAAAGTGACGATTGAAAACTAGGTATTGAACCAAAAGCAAGTAATTAAAATTTTAGGAAAAAAATTTATTTTAAGACTTTACCAACAAAATACATGAGACATATTCAAACCGAGATTTCTTCATATAATTAAAGAGTGACTTTTTCCTCAGTAACGATCAACCTCTGGTATTAAATTGCAAATGTCGCAAAAATAAACGTGTGAATTATTATGCGGTTGAGAATTAAATTATTTTATAAGATGTTTAAAGTATTGAGGAAAGGATTATCAATGAGGATTTAAAAATACCAACTTATAAGTAGTTATAAGTAATAAGGAAGTTTTTATTCTGTTTCTAAGTCAAAGATGTGTAAGTTTCGTCGTCGTTATATATACCTAAGTAGTTTTTATATATACCTAAATAGTGTAAAGAAATCTTAACATCAGATTCTTGTCGAGATATTTTGAATGCGAGCATCTAGAATTCGGGCTGTTCTCAAATAAATCCGTCTTAGGAAGGAATTTCACATTACCGAAGAGAATATTCTGCTGTTAAAAGTTTAGTCTACTGTTTGATATATTTTATTTTAATACACGCTATTATATTTTTATTAGTGCCTTTCATTACTTAAAAATATTTAAAACTAAAAAAAAATATTTGTAGAAATGTGGGGTATATTGAATATTATGTTTATTGTTCTATATTTTATATTTATAAATTCATTCTAAATCGACACATATTTTACACAAGATAAAAGAATATATTTGCAATTAAAAACAGAACATGAATTAAAAAAGGAGGAAAAGTCATACATTTATAACACATCAAACTGTAACTATAGATTTTTTTAAATAAAAAATAATAAAGGTTATATAAAAGACATTATTATGTCGGCATTGTTCGAAGAATCGGTACAATATTTATACATGGTGTATAAATACAATTCTGGTACATAATTCGAGGTCATTCCAGAGTCACAATACAGCCAGCTCTGTTCCATGTGTGAACACCCTGAGAAGTGTGACTATCCCGACAACTACAGTGGCTATGAAGGAGCCTTACGCTGCCTAGCACACAATGGAGGAGAAGTAGCCTTCACTAAAGTCATATATGTCAGGAAATTCTTTGGGGTAGGTATATAGAAACCAATCACAAAATAACCATGCACCTATGAAATTAATTTCGTTTATGTCAATTTTGTTCATAAAAATTCACGTACTATCATTTCTTTCAATTATACACCATATTTTTTGATGATATTTATAAAATTATTATGAGATTTTAGATAATAAACTGTATATGTATGAATTCTTTTGATAAAATCCAATATTATGGACTTATTTAGTAAATTTTCATTTTCGCTAGTGTTTATGGGAACTTTTAACATTTTCTATATTTATTCCTTTCCTTATTATATTTCTTTTGCATCAGCTTCCCGTAGGAACAATCCCAGCCAGCCAATCATCTGAAAACCCTGATGAGTTCGCGTATCTTTGTGTGGATGGATCTAAAGTATCTGTTAGGGAAAAGCCATGCTCTTGGGCCGCTAGACCTTGGCAAGGGTTACTTGGACATAATGATGTTTTGGCGAAATTATCACCTTTGAGGGAAAAGATTAAGCAACTGGCTGATGCAGGTCAGAATAATCTTTATAATATTTTTGTACTAAAGAAATTAATGAATTTTTTAAACAAATAACATATGTACCTACTAGCTTTTCGCAAGCAGCTTCGCCCGCGTGGAGTTAAACTATATCGCGTTCCCAAGAGAACGTCAAAAGTCTGTGATAATAACTATCCTATGTTCTTTCTCAAGGTCAACTCTATATCTATACCAAATTTCATTAAAATCAGTTCAGTGGTTTACGCATGAAAGCGTAACAGACAGACAGACCTAATTACTTTCGCATTTATAATATTAGTATTGATAACTATGGCAGCAAAAAAAAATATAATTATTTTCTCAAAAGGAGCAAGCACTAAACCAGATTGGTTTATAAATGTTCTGGGATTGTCTGAGAAAATACATCACGTTGCGGATAATATACCGATCAAACCAGTTGACTATTTGAGGAAAGCGAACTACACAGAAGTTATTGAGAGGGGACATGGCCCGCCTGAACCGGTCGTCAGGTGATATATGCATCTCATAAAATAATAAACAATACCAGATAACGTACAAAAAATATCGAAAAAATTACCCAAAAAAGTAATATTTGGAATGATAGATACATTGAAATTAGTTTGATATCAATCATACAAAAATTTTATGATACAAAAATTATATTTTGAATATGAGACTAATATTTTCAGATTTACTACGCGCGTAAATCCGGAAATATTAGTTTCATTTAAATGAGTACCCGCGAAAATCTTATCTCATTATATTTTGATTAATTTACAAATACAGTTATGTAATTGAATATTAGTAAAATTAGTTTGATATCATTCATTCATTCTTTCATTCGTTCATCATCTAAAGTAAATATAATTTGAATCGAACTGAATTCATAGTAAATCTCATTCCAAGCGTCACTAAAGACGAGATCTAAATTGAATTGAAATGTGAATTTCATTGTCTTTATCAAACAAAGAACGAAGTTAAAACTGTTTAAATAGATCAAAACTGATCAAAGTTTAATTATCGTACAGATTAAATATTGATTGTAATAAATTATAGTGAAAATTCGAATGTACAATGTATAAAAATCACATATAAATATTTCAAAGTTGGCATTCGTCACACTACATACGAAGTCTCCCCTTTCTCATTCAATAAAGTAATATAAAATGAAAACCGCGAAGATATGCTAATGAAAATTCTTAACGCTATGTAGAATGACGATGGCCATTTAATTTAAGAATTCAAAATTAACATTTAACTAACATTAAAATTACCTCAAAAAAGCATATAAACAAAATAGGAAAATATCCATAGATTATGTTTACGGTTTACCTCAAAATAAAAACCAAATAATATATCCATAGATTATGTGTGACATCAAACGTGGCGTTGTCAAAATGCCGCGCGATGTCAGTGTTCGCGTTCAGTCGGGACATACGACCAGCCATTGACTGTGTGAGAGAGACAGACGAACAAAAATGTCTAAAGAGTGTGAGATGCCTTATTTATTATATTTAAGAAAATAATTTCTTACTTAATTTAAATATATTAAGCTCATAATGATATTAATAAGGTTGGCTGTATATTAAAATATATTAAATGTCAAAAAAAAAAAAACAGTATGTAGATGTTTCAAAAATATTTTGCAGAATATTCATAAACGTTCCCTCAAACTGTCTGAGAGTTTTCGCTTCACGCTCTAATAATCATAACTTAAAGCGTAGTCGTGAAACTACTAAATTCTTCACGAACTATATATCAAATATACGTAGCATTTCCGTCTTTACGGTTGAAAGGACGCCACTTAGAAATATATTGCCATATAAAAAATATTTTTTTTTCATACAAATAAGGTTCAGGATAATGGATCAGATTTAGCGGCGGTGGATGATATGAACGTCGCTTCCGCCTCAAAGAAATACAACCTACATCCGGTCTTCCATGAAGTGTACGGTGAAGCGAAAACACCTAACTACGCCGTGGCGGTCGTCAAAAAGAACACGCCGTTCAATAATATTGATGATTTGAGAGGAAAACGGTGAGTTAACGAAACGATTAAAATGACTTGGAAATTAAATGCAAAATATTTAATTTTTTTCACCATATGTATGTATAATAATATGTAGTTTAGCTAAAAGCTTACAAAAAAATAATGATTTTTGAATACTATTCGAAAAATGCAAATCTATAGAAAAACAATTTCTAAAACAATTAATTTTTATTTACTCCAAAATCCTTTTGGTAATTAAAATATTTCAATATTGTAACATATATGTATATTTATATGTCACTTAATTTTAGTTCGTGTCACAATTCGTTCGGTACATTCGCGGGCCTGGTCGGTCCTCTCTACTACCTCATCAACAAAAACAAAATATCATCGGATCAATGTATTAAGAACTTCGCGAACTTCTTTTCGGGATCCTGTCTCCCGGGAGTCGACAAACCCGAAAACAATCCACGAGGTATGATATAATGTATTCCTATTTATTTATTAAATCCATATAAAGCCGTTATTAAATATTCATTTGTTATAGAAAGAATCACTAAGGTTGTTATACTTTTTTAACTTTTCGTGTTTTGAATTAATAATTTTAGACATTCCATTTGAAAGGACAACTGTCACAAATATTATAGTCTAAAAAGTCTTAATAAATAAATATCATTAAAACATATTATATTGTATCAAAATGTACATATACGGAGAGATTTTGTTTTACAATAATTTTTGTAACACTCTTTTACTTGTCATACGCAAATTATGATAATCTTTACCTAGATGATTTTTTTTTAAGTTGAAAAACGTAAATGATAAACAAAATTTTAGAGATTTTAACTGAGTTATGAGTAAAAACTTTTCTGTGGCTTGAATAATGTCCCGAGGTCAAACTAGAGAGCACTTTATATTCTGTATTTTCACGCCGATATGTATTAAACATAGCCTAACAATTAGACCTTTATAACACCTAATTAAAAAAATATTGAGATTTTAGAAAAATACTAGTACATCTTTTAAATTACAAAACATCCTTTTTGTTTAACAGAAAACCTTTTACTATTTCATCGTGATTTCTGACAACAATAATCCTTTTTATCGATTAAATATACAGGGTGACTGGTGGATTACTATCAATATTTAAGGACAAGGATTCTCATTCGAATTATGTAAAAAAAATAGGTACTTAATTTTTGACCAAATTTCCGTATAAATAAATTAAGTGTGGACACGTTCCAAGTGTTCCAAGTGTGGACGCGTGCGGCAACGTGTTGATACAACACCACGCCGCCGCACGCGTGTGTGTGTGTGTGTGTGTGTATACCTAATCTGTAGGGTGTTCACACGATGCGTAATTAATTACATAACTTTTGGTTAACTTTACTTAGAAGTTTATTAATATTTATGTTATATGTATTAATTTTTATTTTGTCATATATGATCGTCAAATATCACGTCCTCAAGTTTCGATAGTAATTCACCAGTCACCTGTATAATTTAGAGCAATGTACATAAATATAAATACGATGAAAGAGAGATTCATAGCGTAGTGTAACATGACGGCATAATGCTATCACGTGACTCGTAAAAACTATAATATTGAATGAAACAAAACTTGCGTTTATATGAGAATAGGCATTGAATTAAAAAGGTCACATCAGTTCAAAAGATAAGGCTTTAAGAGAAATTATACAATTTAATTCTTACAGGCGATGATGTATCAAAATTGAAGAAACAGTGTTCTTCAAATAATATGGAGAATAACGCATGGAAATGCTTACAAGAAGACAGAGGGGATGTTGCATTTGTGTCAAGTATGTATACAAAATAATCTTCCTACATATATACAAATATATATATTACTAGATTACTAAAAGACCCGGCAAACTTCGTAACGCCCTATAATCAAGAAACATCTGTTACGTTTTTTTTTATTTATATTTTTGGAGTTTTGAAGTGCGACAGAATGATTGACATATTAGTTCGTTGTCAAATCTAATGTCAAAAAAAAAGTTTGTATCAACAACTATGTACTAATAAATTAAAAATTAATAAGAAAAACATTGTCCAGCAGACAAAATTGTGAATCTAAACCATTCCCAGATCCTCTTGAACACACACAAAAAATTTCATCAAAATCAGTCCAATCATTTGAGAGAAGTTCAGTGACATACACACTCACAGAAGAATTATATATATAAAGATATATTCTTATGTACTAATTTCATTATAGGTGCAGATTTATCAAACTTTGATTCCGCCGAGTATGAACTTCTCTGTTTAAACCAGGGGCATGGCCGAGAGAGTCTTTTGAATTACACTACATGTAATATTGTTATGGCACCTTCTAGAAGCTGGTTGTCAGCCAAAGATTTTCTATCTGACGTCTCTATAGCCCATACTCCTTTGAGTTTGGCACAATTATTGGACACCAGAAGTGATTTGTTCAATATTTACGGAGAATTCCTTAAGAATAACAATGTCATTTTTAATGTAAGTAGTTTTTATATGATTTGTTTGGTTTCAAATTCAAAAACAGAATTAATTAAAAATTATTTTTTTTAGAATGCTGCCAAAGGTCTGGCGACAGTAGAGAAAGTGGACTTTGTAAAATTCAAGACTATCCATGATGTTATGAACACATGTGGAATCGCTTAAATGATTCCAATAATACCTAACAGGAGTAGACTAACCAAAAAAGAGATTTGCAATAAAAAGAAACATCAAATTTAACTCATTATTTTAATACTCTGATTAATTGAAAATAAATAAATAACAAAGAAATTTGTATTTTTTCTTATATAATTACAATGCAGCTAAAATCAATGTAAGTGCGGCCGCTCCAGCCAACATGGTGTATCCTGTTGAATAAACTTCTTTAATCGACAAACCTTTAGCTGTGTCCCAGTACAAATGCCGGATTCCGTTAGCAAAATGATAACCGAATGGCGCGGCTATCAGCACTTTAGCCAAAAATAATGTTGCCGGGGACAAATTGAGTCCCTCAATCATAGTTATGTAGTGCGAAATATCATTTGGCAACACCAAGGCCCCAACGCCTAACACTGTAGCATACCCAGACAGAATCATTCCTAAAACAATGATATAATTATATTAATATGTTGAAAAACCACAAAGAAAACTTCCACAAACAAGTTAAACAATGCAATATAATTCATAATTGCTTAAGCCATTAACGATATTTGTATGTCCAATAATTGTAACAGTTCTTTGAATAATATGAAATATTAAAAACATAATTATTTATGAACTCACCCGCAAATCTATGGGAAATTGATAGAATGCTGGTCAGCTGGTACTCGATAATGGTAAGGTGAGGAGAAAGAGGTCTCTTGAGGCGTTCATTCTTAATATCATGATGTTCTTCCTTTGGAGGTTCGAAATTCTTGAAGGTTATCTTAGGAACTGAAGCAGATTGAGCATATGACACTGTTCCCAAAGCAGATCTATACTTTGCCAAGTTTCCAAACACCGATTTCGTTCCTAGTCTAAAATAGATGTTATTATTAAAACATAATAAAGCATAAAATATTACATAATATATAATGTCAACATACCTGCTGCAGCAGTAGAATGCCATTTTCAAATATTTTGATTAAACTAAAACTGCATACAATATTCGATAATTCAACTACTTGCCTTCAACAGGCTTAATAATTATTATAATAAATTTTATTACGGCAAAAGCTATTCTAAAATCTCGATAGTTGGCAACTTGAACTTGAATAAGTTCAGTAGACAGACTATAACTGTCACAGAAGCATTTATAGAGACTGTTACCGTTATTTCTTACAAAATAAATACTTTTGAAATATGTTGTTAATACACCAAAATAATTTTACGCAATAAAATTTTAAAATTTAAATCTATATTTTTAATATAACAATTAAAAACCCTGTAAAAATTAAACATATTCGCTAAAATATTAAAAAACATCGTCATTACTAACGTTCCCCGTAAACAATTTTTCGTCAAATGTCACGTCGTTCTTACAAACGAATTCAAAAAATTAATGTTATCATAACATATTCTCTAAGCATTTCAAATAATTAAATGAACCGCTTTTTATTTTTATCCGCTGTTTCTAGTTGCTTGAAGATCAATTTTTCTACAGCTGCTATTAGTATGGCTCTCCGAAGCGTAGACTTTGAAGTGTATGGCCGGGTTCAAGGAGTATTCTTTAGGAAGGTTTTTATGCAAAAACTAATTTCATAACGCATACTTCTTTTTTTTAAACTAAAACTATCAAATATTTTTAAACTATAGCTATCATAATTCCAAAAAAATTCAATCATAATTATAACTCTTTAATTATCAAACATCTAAATAAAATAGTGTTTAATAAAAGATTTAAAATGGATTAAGAAATCATATTGATAATAATTATACCATTATTTATTATGTTAACGATTTAACACTTAAATTTAACAAAGTCAATGATTTATGAGTATTAATAAGAATTATAATCAATACATTCTAGTTATACATGCTAGTACATTTTATCATTACTTTCTTGTACAAGAAACACAAAAAATACATTCATAGCTTCCCTTAAAACATTTAACACTTCAGTGGACAGAACAGCCTGTAAAGTATGTTCTGTAGCTGTTATTTAGGCAGCTCAAATTCCTCGAATACTCTCTCTAAAAATAGATTATTGCATTGATTAAACCAGAGAGTTATATCTCGTGCCTCATCTCGTTCTGTCTACACTTTTCAATGCCTATGTATTAATTAAACTAGAAAATTAATGCATTATGTGCTTTAAGAAACAATATCGAAACGTTGTCATACATATTCATTGATCGTCAAGATTCTTAGGGCAAAAAGTAGATATAATACACTAATTATAGCCAAGTTAATATTATGAAACAGAATTTTCATGGGCATAATTACATTTCATACAATATATATGTTTTTTTTCGTCTAATATCTATAAATGTTCTAACACAAGCAAACCAAATCACATACATATTTTTATATTTTGTATTTAAGTTGAACAATATTGAATCTACCCAGATTGAAAGGAGTTTAAGTTAGTAGATTTTGAAATTTCTTTAATTTGCAGTTCACAAAAGAGCAAGCGGAGAAATTAGCACTGAAGGGCTGGTGCCGTAATACTTCTCGAGGAACTGTGGAGGGACAGGTTCAAGGTCCATCGGAGAAAGTTGATGAAATGTAAGTATACATAATAAAAGAATATCATGATAATATACAACAGACACAAGGGGAAAAAATATTAAATGAAATTTTTTTTTGTCTTGTGTGTATCCATGATTAAGATGACATAAAAATTAATTTGCATTTAAAGTTTCGAATCTATGAATGTTGTGATAAAAATCGAGTAGAGCATAATGTAAAATTTTATTTGATTAAAATAATAAGGAAATAAGTGACGAAAAAACTTATAATAATCATAGAGTGCTCAATATGTGTTAAGTGAATGTACTATGTTGGTACAAAAATTTAAAAGCATTTTTTTTATGCTATAGCTTTCTTCGCAGTGGAATCATGGAAAGTGACAACATAAAAATTACTTTTAATTTACCTAGGATACAACTATTTCTGCCCAAAATACATACTATTTAAAAAAATCCTGTAATTGCGATTTTTTCCCTCACATTTTGTCCATTAGAGTACATATATATATGGAAAAAACTTTTCTTTGTTTGGCATTATTTTAAGTTAGCCCATTGCAATTATTATTCCATTAATATAATAAATAAGATTGTATATATTTATATATAAAGCTATCTTTGATATGAAACCAATTTAAATGTTTGTTTATTTTATACATTTTTCTCTGCGTCTGGTGACGTCACGTTTATGACGTCATTTCCTCTATAAATTTCCAGGTCGACAGAATAAAATCGAACATAAAGTTTTATGAAATAGTATTTATTGTTTCTGTGGCTAGCCGCAAACGGTGTTATTGTATTCATACTAATGTTTACAAAAGGAGAACTTTTGTGACTACCGTCAGCATCTGTAAAATCCCTTTTATATAACAATAATCGGTAATTCCCACATCCTACTTAAGTAGTTACGCTACTATATAAATAAGAAAATAATTTATATACGCTGTAAAAATGTTATAAATATTTAGTCATATTATCGGTTTTATCTAATTTTAGTGTTGAATAATAAAGGATAGATTTTTTTAACCTGCATGTAGATATAATAAAAATGACATTTTAAAAGAGTAAATGTCAGTATCAAATAAACAAAAATATAATGGTTTATAATAGCAAAAAAAAAGTGCCATAATAATGTGACTTTTTTCACATCCATTTCGGTATCGACATATTGTTTTTTTTTTAATCCAGAACAACAAAAATTTAAGTTTTACGTGAACTGCATTTAAGATCACTTAAAATATAAGGTCATATGGAATTTTAAACAAATATTTCAAAGCAAATAAGGTATTTTAACTTATAATTCTAAATATTTGTTCATTTCTGTTTTATCTTTTAAGTCATTTCATTATTCATTCACATTTTTTATCCATAAATTATGCGTATCTTTCATTTAAAGCACTCGCAATATCTGATACAAAGTACCTCAATTTATTTCGTATTTGACAATTATATTTATTTATCTATTCATCTATACTAATATTATAAAGCTGAAGAGTTTGTTTGTTTGTTTGTTTGAAAGCGCTAATCTCCGAAACTACTGGTTCGAATTGAATAATTCTTTTTGTGTTGAATAGTCCAGTTATCGAGGAAGGCTGTAGGCTATATAACATCACGCTACGACTAATAGGAGCAAAGATATAGTGGTAAATGTGTAAAAAACGGGAGAAATTATTTCATCTTTGAAGCCTTCCGTTGCGTGCGCCGTGAAAACGGTTCAGGATACACAAAAAATATGTATTAAAGAATAATATCTCTTTTAATGATCTAAAAAACAGTCCGCGACAGTATATGTCTATCTTTTAAGATTAACTCACAAAAACCGTTTTTATGGTACCTAATTTGGTCGAAATATGTAATTTGTTTAAGTTGTATCAACATAATAATATTAATCTTTATTCAAATAAACAAATAAATATGTTGTTGGTTAAGAGTACTTCATTGTGAATAAAAAAAACATAGGTTTTATCCTGAAAATTCTACGGGAACTCGACCATTCCGAAAACCCCGCAAGAACGGGATCTATGTGGGAAGAACCAAAAATCTGCCGGAAGTTACTATTCCACGCAGACGAAGTCGCGGCAAAAGCTAGTTATAAATATATGGATGAGTTCGGTTATTCCAAGAGAACGTTTCAAAATTCTGGGATAGAAACTATCCTATGTTCTTTCTCAAGGTCAACTCTATGTCTGTACCAAATTTCATTAAAATCAGTTCAGTTGTTTAGGCGTGAAAGCGTAACAGACAGACAGAGTTACTTTCGCCTTTATAATATTAGTAGGTATGAATAAAATAATTACGTTAGTAACGTGAAAGGGAAATTAAAATATACGTGTAAGAAAAATTCATTCAAAACAAATTCACTAATGTATATGTATAATATTCAGACAATATCAGACCTTTCACTCTCAAATATTAATATCATAGCAATATCTGTAATTAAAACATTTTATGTTTTCTCATTTCCATACGACTAGACTGTTCAATATTCCGTAGCTTTATCTATGAACCAATACATTACAGCTATTTGCGATATTTTTGAATTAGTACGCTTCACTAATGTATGAAGCCTTTCCAAATGACTGAAATAAAATATAAATTGCAAATTTTTAGACAGTTATTTATGTTCAATACTAATTTTAATAGTATCAGATCGTATTTTATATGCATACCATTAAAGTCTTTTACTCTATGTAATAAAAATACTGCTACTTGTAATTTTTCTTGGCCAATCTCCTAGTTCGATTTAAGTATTACAAAGAGCTTGTTATGCCAATACAAACATATGTACATATACAAGATGGTCCAGAAATACGTGCAATTTCAGAATTCAGATACTCATAAATTTTTATAGGATTCTGGAAGCCAAGCGGCTCATAAGAATGAGATCAAGTTTAGAAAATTTCATACTTTCATATAAGGAACATTATAAAAAAGACTTTAATTTTTCACCTGTATAGCTGTGAATTTAATTTAAAATTCTCATTAACATATACTTCTTTCCATAATTGAAAAAATATAATAAACCTTCTATCTTCTTCTTCTTCCTGGCAATTTCCCAGCTTTAGCCAGGGTCTGCCTTCCTACATAAACGCCTCCACTTTGCACGGTCTTGGGCCTTTTATCTGCCTATTAATAATTGTTTACAGTGTGTCTGTAATTAAACATATTTAGCAATATGAAATATAATAGTTATATACAACGTCAAATCTTGGCTTAAATTTTTTCGTTCCTCTATCACATGTCGCATTACAGCTGGCCGTGTAGAGATAGATTACAAAGCGTTTGGCAGCCGAGCTGGTTCCAAAGGCCCGCATCAATTGACCATGTATCGTTCATATTACCACTCATTCATAAAAATGATTTGTGTATATTAATAAAATATTTATTTCAAACATTTAAATTTGATTCTATTTAAAGTATTTTGATGGGAATTTTAAAATTCGACTTAAATACTAGAGAAGTCTGTAAAAAAAGGCTTAGTTTTTTATATAATGTAAAATAAAACCAATAAAATAAATACAAGTTATATTCTCGGTACATTTTCTTTTCAGTATTATTATAACGCTTATCAAACTAACACACCCAGTACACTTTACTTCAAAGTGTTTACTTTGTCCAATGTACACACATTTGTAATTGTTAACGCACTTTATAATATTACGAGTGTCGCTACATAATAAATGACTGTTTCAAACCTAATATTTATAGGGAAATGTATTTACGTACGAAGATCGTCTCGATTTTATTTAGTCATTTTAAATTCTTCTACAAATCGCAACAACGGAAGCTTAGAGGAATTCTCTTTTGTCTACAAATCGCATTCATATCTCATATCAAAGACAGATATATTTTTAAAATTCAATATGCTTTGAGAATTTACAAAAAGTTTATACGTAAATATGAAACCATTTGCAGATCGATGTACGTATTTTATACAGATGTGAATCACGGTCAAATAGAACATTAGATAAATAAAATTAATTCCCGGACATGAAATAAATAGGAAAGAATCCTCTTTCATGATGAGGACGTACTAATGGCGGTCATTATGTTCACGAAGGCTGTATTTGGTGCTCAAATGTAATATTCTTGGGGGTGCAATTTCAGTTGTGATGACCCCTCTGACCTAATTCAGTTATGAAATTAACAGGCTATAATTGGAAAGTGAGACAAAACGTTTAAATTTTGCCCAAATGAAATCTTCTTTAGGTATATTGTATTATTCGTATATTTTTATATTGAGAAGTTGTATGAAATAAAACAGATTTATTTGATACTTTTGACAGTTGACTGTCGGATTTCACGTTTGCTTTTTAAGCCGATATTTCAAACTTTGGCAAGGCCTGAATATGATGGAATATGTTTTGTTTAATATTTCCGAATATTTTATTGAAAAACATTTGAATATTATGTTCTATTTTGTTATAGTGTTTTCAGGATGCAATGGCTCAAAACCACTGGAAGTCCGAGTAGTAAGATTGAAAAAGCTGATTTCAAGAACGGCAAAGATATATCCGAATATAATTTTAGCAATTTCGAAATTCGACGCGATGATTAGTCATTAGAATGTATTTATAGTTTAGAATTATTATTTATTTATTAAAAAAGACGAAGTCTTAATTATACTATTAATGCATGTAGATTGTTTCAAACAATGTTTAATTAAAACGTATGCTTACAACTTTTATTGTTTCATTTTTCACACGAAAGGGCTAATGTTTAAAATTTTAGAGTTTTATTCAGTAATTTTATTGGTTTTATCTAATTTTAGTGTTGAATAATTACGCTGAAGGGAAAAAGGATTTTTTAACCTGCATGTAAGAAATGCAACAAAGTATATTCGCTCACTTGAAAATAACCATAAAGACTTCAACATAATTTTATTTACTAAAATGACGTTTTAAGAGATTAAATGTCAATATCAAATAAACAAAAAATATAATGGATTATAACAGCAAAAAAATGTCCTAATAATGTGACTTTTTTCACATCCATTTCGGTATCGAAATATTTGTTTTAAATTCATACTAATAAACATTTTCATTTTAAGTAAAGTGCATTAAGATCACTAAAATTAATATATAAGGTCATATGGAATTTTAAACAAATATTTCAAAGCAAATAAGGTATTTTGACTTATAATTCTAAATATTTGTTCATTTCTGTTTTATCTTTTAAGTCATTTTATTATTCATTCACATTTTTTATCCATAAATTATGCGCATCTTTCATTTAAAGCACTCGCAATATCTGTTACAAAGTACCTCAATTTATTTCTTATTCGACAATTCTATTTATTTATCTATCCATTATAAATATATGGATACTAGTTTTAAGCCCGAAGCTTCTCCCGCGTGGAGTTCGGTTATATCGCATTTCCAAGAGAACCTTTCAAAAGTCTGGGATAAAAAACTATCCTATGTTCTTTCTCAAGGTCAACTCTGTCTGTACCAAATTTCATTAAAATCAGTGCAGTGGTTTAGGCGTGAAAGCGTAACAGACAGACAGGCAGAGTTACTTTCGCATTTATACTATTAGTAGGGATTAATATAATAATTACGTTATTAACGTGAAAGGGAAATTAAAATGTACGTGCAAGAAAAATTCATTGAAAACAAATTCACTAATGTATATGAATAATATTCATACAATATTAGATCTTTCACTCTCAAATATTAATAACGTAGTTATTACTACGTTATTAATTAAAACATTTTATGTTTTCTCATTTCCATACGACTAGACTGTTCAATATGCCGTAGCTTTATCTATGAACCAATACATTACAGCTTAATTTGCGATATTTTTGAATTAGTACGCTTCACTAATGTATGAAGCTCTTCCAACTGACTGTGAAATAAAATAAAATTTGCAAATTTTTACAGTTATTTATGTTCAATACTAATTTTAATATATATCAGATCGTATTTTATATGTAACCTTTAAAGTCTTTTACTGTACGTAATAAAAATACTGCTACTTGTAATTTTTCTTGACCAATCTCCTTGTTCGATTTAAGTATTACAAAGAGCTTGTTATGCCGATACAAACATATGTACATACACAAGATGGTTTAGAAATACGTGCAATTTCAGAATTCAGATACTCATAAATTTTTATAGGATGCTGGAAGCCAAGCGGCTCATAAGAATGAGATTAAGTTAAGAAAATTTCATACTTGCATATAAAGAACATTATAAAAAGGACTTTCATTTTTCACCTATATAGCTATGATTTTAATTAAAAATTCTCATTAAGATTACTTCTTTCCATAATTGAAAAAATATAATGAAACTTCTATCTGCCTCTTAATATTAGTTCACGGTATGTCTGTAATAAAATAAATTTAGCAATATGAAATATAATGTTTATATACAACGTCAAATCTTGGTTTAAATATTTTAGTTCTTCTATCACATGTCGCATTACAGCTGGCCGCGTAGAGATAGATTACAAAGCGTTTGGCAGCCAAGCTGGCGCCAAAGGCCCGCATCAATTGACCATGTATCGTTCATATTACTACTCATTCATAAAAATGATTTGTGTATATTAATAAAATATTTATTTCAAACATTTCAATTTTATTCTATTTTAAGTATTCTGATAATAATTTTAAGATACAACTTAAATACTAGAGAAGTCTATAAAAAAAGGCTTAGTTTTTTATATAATGTAAAAGGAAACCAATAAAATAAATACCAGTTATATTCTTTGTACATTTTCTTTTCAGTATTATTATAACGCTTATCAAACTAACACACCCAGTACACTTTACTTCAAAGTGTTTACTTTGTCCAATGTACACACATTTGTAATTGTTAACGCACTTTATAATATTACGAGTGTCGCTAAAGATAATAAATGACTGTTTCAAACCTAATATTTATAGGGAAATGTATTTACGTACGAAGATCGTCTCGATTTTATTTTGTCATTTTAAATTCTTCTACAAATCGCACCAACGGTAGCTTAGAGGAATTCTCTTTTATCTACAAATCGCATTTATATTTCATATCTCATATCAAAGACAGATATTTTAAATTCAATATGCTTTGAGAATTTACAAAAATTTCCTATGTAAATATGAAACCATTTGCAGATATACGTATTTTATACAGATGTGAATCACGGTCAAATAGAACATTAGATAAATAAAATTAATTCCCGGACATGAAATAAATAGGAAAGAATCCTCTTTCATGATGAGAACGTACTAATGGCGGTCATTATGTTCACGAAGGCTGTATTTGGTGCTCCAATGTAATATTCTTGGGGGTGCAATTTCAGTTGTGATGACCCCTCTGACCTAATTCAGTTATGAAATTAACAGGCTATAATTGGAAAGTGAGACAAAACGTTTAAATTTTGCCCAAATCAAATCTTCTTTAGGTATATTGTATTATTCGTATATTTTTATATTGAGAAGTTTTATGAAATAAAACAGATTTATTTGACACTTTTGACAGTTGACTGTCGGATTTCACGTTTGCTTTTTAAGCCGATATTTCAAACTTTGGCAAGGCCTGAATAATGGATTATGTTTTGTGTGATTTAATATTTTCGAATAAATTATTGAAAAACATTTGAAAATTATGTTTTATTTTGTTATATTTTTTTTTTTAGGATGCATTGGCTCAAAACCACGGGAAGTCCGAGTAGTAAGATTGAAAAAGCTGATTTCAAGAACGGCAAAGATATATCCGAATACAATTTTAGCAATTTCGAAATTCGACGCGATGATTAGTCATTAGAATGTATTTATAGTTTAGAATTATTATTTATTTATTAAAAGAGACAAAGTCTTAATTATACTAATGCATGTAGATTGTTTCAAACAATGTTTAATTAAAATATATGCTTACCAACTTTTATTTTGTTTCATTTTTCACACAAAAGGGCTAATGTTAACAAATCTTTGGAGACGCATTTGTAGCGAAAGTTTATTTCCCCAAACCATAATAAAAGATACCCGTTCGTATGAAATGAACATGTAAAAATTCTGACGCTTCTATTATGGAAGCAAACCAAACCACGATATTCATGGAACTCCCATTAAAATAAAAGCGAATGGTTCTTGTACTAACATGTATTGCGTTTGATGTTGCTCATATCACGAAATTCAGTAAAGCCGACATTAAAACATGATTTTTGTATTTATGGCTTAAGATGGAAGCGATTGACACAGATAACTATTTTTACTTATTCATATTTTTATTACATTATCTAAACAGTTGAATCAAAGTGAAAGATTTTTTTGTATTGCCTCAATATGTTTTACACTCTATCGCATGTCGCATTACATTTAGTTACGATGGAGGGACTAAGTAAAAAGCAGCAAAGCAACAAATGCTAAAATCTCACTTTAGTTGACCGTGTATTATAAATATTTTCAGTCGCGATCCGCTTTATTTGTGTCTTTGATTAGAATTATTTAATTTTTTTTTTTAATTTTACATTTCTTTATAATGTGTAAATATTTCAAATTAATATTTATATTAGATTAGACGTACATGATAAAAACCTATGTCGAAATTGGAAAAACGTTCTGAAAATTCCTTCAATGAGAGAAAAATACTTTTTCTTATACAATTCTTCGTATCGTGATTTCATAAAATCACACCCTTTTTATTTACTTATATTGTACGTAGTATCTTTATCCTATCACATTACATGTGTTTAATTAATTATTTGGTATCCATAATCCTCTTATACGCCAGCTTACTCGACTAAGAAATGTCTTGGGTGATATAACATCGAAAATGTACATTAGTTATATAAATACTCACATAAATACATATATATTTCTTTCTTTATTGTTATAATATAATATTTGTAGACTTTCCCTTTCTTGTCTTATCTTAAGTATAGGCACAATTGTTTACGTTATTTTTTAAATTAAGCATATTCTTACTAAAATGTAAATAAAACTCAATCGAGATTATAAATTGTTGATTCATGTATTAGTTATAATTAATGAAGAGTCATCAATATTGATAGCTTTCAAAAATATTCTAGAACAATAAAACATCTGTTAAGTGACAATGGACGACCTTGCTGGATTTTTACGAAGAGTTAAGTTCGATGGGGTAGGAATAGGAAATGATTACGTCCGAGTCAGTAACCCGGGCGTGTGTTATTGATGGGAGAGAGGGGGTGGAGGGAGGAGGGAGGAGGTAAGTGGGTCAGGAGGGGCGCGCAGCCGCGACACTGCGCCCTCAGCCTCCAGCCATGGCGGACGCTCCGCCCGAGGTCCTCGAGCTAAACGTCGGCGGCGTGCACTACGCCACAACTCGCGAGACGCTGTTGCTCGAACCGGATTCACTACCAGCGGCCGCGCTCAACGACCCCGACCATCCTAGAGACGCGCGGGGAAGAATCTTCTTCGACCGCGACGGCGTGCTGTTCCGATATGTATTAGATTATCTCCGCGACGGCGGGCTCGTGCTACCGGAGTGCTTCCGCGAGCACAAGCGACTGGCGCGGGAAGCGAAGCATTATAGACTGCTGGGGCTCGAGAACGCAGTGAGAGAAGCCGATCCTCGTCCACCGAACCGCGAGCGCGGCTGCATCACTGTAGGTTACCGCGGGAGTTTTGCTTTCGGACGCGACGGCCTCGCTGATGTGAAGTTCCGTAAGCTATCGAGGATCCTGGTCTGCGGGAAGGTGACTCTATGCCGCGATGTTTTTGGCGAGACGTTGAACGAGTCTCGGGACCCGGATCACGGGCTGGCTGATAGATACACGTCCCGCTTCTTCTTGAAACACTCCTTCATTGAACAAGCGTTCGATATGCTTCAAGAGCAGGGCTTCAAGCTAACAGCCAGCTGTGGCAGCGGCACGGCCGGAGGCGCGGCCGAGCTGAAACCAGGTGTAGATTCCGAGGAAAACCGCTGGAACCACTACAACGAATTCGTATTCGTGCGCGAGTAATATCTCCTAGGATTGTGATACTGATTCAGCTAATTGCTTGACGGTTTCAGTCACTTATCGTGGTGGATAAGAGGTTTTGATCGGCGGAAGGTAAACCGAATAGATAACTAAGTCTCGTTTTCTATTACTTATATCATTTAAGAATTTTCTTACGGAAATGTGTTCCTGATCTTATGCTCTACTCATCTTAGTTTCTTTCGTTTAGAATATAAACGTTTACAAAGTTTAAATATATTTTGAATAATATAAATTCTATTTTAGATTCGACGTTATTATAAATTAATTTATTAAATAATATAGAATGAATTAAAAAATGTTCTACATAGTTCTAGATATGTAGATAAAGCGAACTTAACTGTATTCATGTTATAAATAAGTAGATAAATGATTGTATTTAATAGAATACATGTATAAATATCGTATGTAGATGTTACTTCCCTTTTAGAAACGATGTAATGTAACAGAACTATTTCTAATGTATTATCTATTTTATAAATAATTTTATTGATGTCGTAAAATGTATTTTGGAATTGCATAAAAAATTTTCAAATAAACTATCCCATTTCTATTTCATATCGAAGCTTTCAATATTGACACCCGATGATAGAAAATATAAAATATGTATCACGCTTGAATAAATATTTAATAATATATTCATTTAAACATTTAATTATAAAGCGCGAACTAATAGTACCTGTTACAGTAAAGTGCTGGAAATACTGCCGTAGTTTAGGAACTAATTTAAAAGTTTTATAAAGACTTCTTGACTTAAATAAAAGAATAGAGGGGAAAGATGGAAGGAAACAGTTCCTTAAATACTTTCATCTGTATCCGAGATGTTTCAAAGTTCACTTATATTGCGTTTTTTTCCTAACTTTTGTTGCAGCTAAGTCTAGACGAATTTAATGATCTTAGCCATATCACTAGTATATTACTATCATATGTATTTATATATGTATATCCCATTTATCTTTAAAAACATGTTGGCCAAATTTCTGTCTCTGTAGACGGATAAGTAGAGAGTAGTCATCTATTAATTATTTAGGTATAGTGAAATAAAGAATGTTACTATAAAAATATTTTAAAAGTCATTAGAATTCAACTATTAATGGTCTTAATATATCTGACATAAGTACGGGATAAATAGGTCATGATTTTGCGTGTTTAGTACCTGGTAATGTGAACTTAATTATTACACAGAGTATAGACAATGCTGAACAAACTTGAACACGGGCCCCACTAAGGCTTATCACGCAAACTTTGCCAAAATTAATGGCAAAACGGCGGGTTTTAGCCTCCATCTACGGATGACAGTTTAAACTTTACACAGATTATAAATAAAACGACAAAAAGGTTTTATATTTTTTAAATTTATTTGAATTAAAAACTATTATATACTGTGGTCAATGTCAAGAATTGTTTGTAAAATAATTTTATTGTTAATTTGATTTTTCAGTATTAAATATAAAATTATGTATATTATATTTATCGCACATAAAAATATTAAGTGTTTTTTATCTATATTTAAATTGATTGCTGTATTAACAGAAAGAAAAATATAAGGAATATGTATTTATATTATTTACGTGGCACATTATGTAAGCATTTCATATTTAAAACCGTAGAGTTTGGGATTAGTGGAATAAATAAATTTATTTGAAAATTAACAATTTGTTTCATTCCTCTCTTCTACACAGACAACAAATAATACATATTCTTCTAGAATATTGAGACAGTTTTAGCCGGCGCGTGACGTAATGACCTAGTAATTAATGAAAAACAATGGCGCCTCTTGTTACTTGACAATTATTAATTAGAATTGGATTTTATCTTTAACGAAATACATAATTAATGTTTGTCCATTTATATACGAAAGATTATTTAAAAGGAATTAATTTTCCCGTTCGTAACTATCCACGATTTTTAAGAATAAAAAGTTAATAATACTTCCATGAATGTGAAGTACACTTGGTCGTGTTGCTGACACGTGAATCTGAAGTGCGAAACGTATTGAATGAACTTGTACGTGGATATTATTTATTGAAGTGTTCCAGTTGTGTGATTTAACTTAAAAAAAGGCCCATTCAATAAATACGAAAGAAGAATTCGAGTTAATTCGTCATACGATGCGGCGTCTTTAGCTTTACTGATTTAAGTTTTTTTTTTATATAAAACCTTTTTTGTTGATTATGAAGTTTATTAAAAAAAACATATTCCTTTTCATACAGTATAGAAGTGTATCATAATTATATGTATTATTTTTTCACAGTTATTTAAATTTTAATGAGTTCCCGCCCGTCACTGTTTTAGGATAACAATAGAAAGAATCTTTAGTTCTGTCTTTTGTATTCCCGCTCGCGACCTCTAGTACAACGAAGATAAAGAATTACAACTTATTACAAGAAATAGACCAAAGAGACTATATGATTTATTTCTGTAGAGAGAAATTAGTTTAGATAAATTTAATTCAATGATTGATAACTTTATATGTATACTAGAAGACCCGGCGAACTTCGTATCGCCCTATAATCAAGAAATATCTGATACGTTTTTTATATATATTTTTGGAGTTTACCTATTAAAGCCATAAATTTCTATGTTTGGAAGTGCAACAGAATGATTGACATATAGTCATCAAAATCGGTCCAGTTGTTTCAGAGAAGTTCAGTGACATACACACTCACAGAAAATGTATATAAAGTGTAATGTATATAAAGATTGAACATATGTTTGTTAAAAATTAAATAAGGATTAAAAAATATATTGAAAACCCGCTTATATTGCATAGTATCAAACTAAAAAGTATAAAAGAATTTTCTATATACGTAGAAAATAATTATGAAGGAAAAATATTAATATTATAATGAAAATAGCGTGGGGTGCTCGTTTCACTAAAATGTGTCACAAAGCAGAGCGTATTAAAAACATTAGCTATAATCTACAATATAATATAAAAAGTTTTATAATCTGTTTGTATATATTTTTACTTGGATTCAGAGTGACCCTAATTTTTTACCTAAATAAGATGAAACATATAATAAATACTTAGATTAAAAATTAAAGTATCCTTTACAACATGTTATTCTACTTTTTTATATACACTGTAATAAAAGTACATCTTGATGTACCAAAAGACCATATTCAGACAAATAACGCTCACATAAACAGCGATTTATAGCTGCGAACAACTTTAAATAACTTGGTCGACTTTAATACATTTTCTCTTATACGTGAATCTACCAAAATGATACATTATTAAAGACAATGTTCATTGGTTAGGAAAAATTCACTGATCCTTGTATATAAAATCCTTTGATGAAGGAACAAGCACATTAATCAATTGGCTGAGGACTGAGGTCCCTTTAAACACAAAGCCTGTAAGCTTGGTTAATATGTGATACTTGAAAACCAATTACCTATTATAACTATTGTTCAAATGACGCGCTGACTTCATATAAATCATTTGTTAAGGCGGGAAAATTAATTGTTACTAGATGTAAGTTGATGAACATCGCAAATAGAAATCTATGTTTCTGATAGTTATTAAAACTTTTATTTGGTAAATCTTCCATTAAAATTGTATAACCATAATAATTAATGTGTCTTTTTTAGTATTACAAAATGCTTTTAAGTGTATGCGATCTTAATTCTTATTTTAATGTTTAACGCCAACCAGTTAAAGCTATGTTAGTTAGATATATAAAAACTTTAATGGCAAAAAAAATACTATTTCGACTCGACTTTTAAGCACTTTTTATATAAAATAAAGAATAATAAATACATATAAAGAAAATAGGCAAAACAACGAAGATTTCTCTTACTATCATAAGTAATAACATATCATAATTAAGAATCTCGGAGGTTTGATAAACTATACAGAAATCGCCGTTGGTTATGTTTCAATTACTAAACAGTCAGTAAGACATAGAATATTATTTAACCTGTAATAAGACATATGTAGAATATGTAGGGTCCTGCCCAGGTCGAGCCTCACACATCCCTTCCGGCCCCATCGAAGCCGGTTGGACGGCTCCTAAAAAGAGTTTCACTGCGACATCAAAAAAAAATTGTAGAATATAAGAGACAAGACGAAACTTCTCAGCATTCCATGTATTCATATGCGGGTGTCAGGTCCATCGTTGCAGAGAGGAGCTTCAACAGTGACTGGGACTTGCGACCCAGGTATAGTTTTAAGGGACCCCTATCTAACGCGTTAAACGCTTACCTCCACCGTCCAACCTCTCTCTAACTAACCAAATTTGAAAAGAACCTACTATTGCTTCCTTCGAAGTACGTTCCAAGAATGAACTAATATTAGTTCTGGACAGGCCCAAGTCTTTTAGTAGGTCGTAGAGAGATTTAGATTTCATACTGACGAACTTACGTGCACGTTGTAAGTTCAAACAATACCTACCTTGTTCTTGCAAAACTAAAGTGTTAGAAACAGTTCAGTTTAACTGAAACTTATACGTACATTTAGTAGTATAATCAACTAACAAGCGTTAACCCTCACTACAGATGTAATTACACTACAGATAACGCTTAACACAAGTTTGTTACCTCACTACATAGTTAAAAGTACTCCATTTATAAATCAAATAGTTTGTATGAAAAACTAGAAACGCTTCGAATTTAAGATGTTGTACTTAATGAGATCTAAGACTTTCGTTAGTTTTATTAATTTAAGTGAAACTAATATTTTCGCAAATACCTACGACATGTGGATCATCTTGTCTGCCCGTGATCACGGTTGCTGAAAAGTAGCCGAAACGTCGAGAGTAGGTAGTTTTTTACAAAAATAAAGCACGCGTAGTATAACCGAAAAATATTAGTTTCATTTAGATGCAGAACTTGTAGTAAGGATACTGTTTTTAACGAGTGTATTTCAAAGGGTCAAAGCTTTTTTACCCTGACATGAGAACATGAATTTCACGTAACTTACCAGCTTTGGCGTTTTACTTTTTGCTACTAGCTAAGTATTCAAAAGAATTACAATAGAAATTTTAGGAAATATATTCTTAGTGTTAAATTTTCTATTCTGTTTTTTATTTCATGATTTAAACAATAGTCATTACAATTAATATAGTCGGAATGTCACGTCTTAGTT